ACTATGTAGATAATGAAGTTTTAAAAATGGTCCTTTCATTCCAATCTTTCTGCCATTTTGTCTGATGTAAGATAAACATCATGTTATTTCTGATATTTACGCTTCCATGTTTGATCCAGGTGGCATTTGAGAATTTTCCAGCATGCTAATATTTTAGGGTTCCCAACTGCTCTGTTGTTCTTGATTTCTTCTTGGAATGGACGTGGTACCCAAACTTTGACGTGGGGAAACAAAGGTGGCCAGACCGAATCATTCTTCTTTTGAATGAGATTGGCACAGAACGGAAAATGGATGTATTTAAAAATAATACTGTCCACTGATGAGGCTATCGTCCAGCAGACAATTTACAGAGGCTTGTTCCACAAACAGAGAAAGTAACACAGCTGTCGAAGAGCTGGAACATTTTGGAAGAGCCACCGTTGCCAGCTGTGTCGTTCAGCTTTAGTTATTTTCCACATAGACTCTCCCGTATCAATAAAGAAGCACACCTGTGCCTCTCTGCCAGGATTCCCGAGACCTAAGTCTGGTTTGATTTACCCCAGAGTATTTTAAAAGAATTTTCATCCCATAAGGCAGGATTAGAAGAAAATAAGCTTCTAAAACTTTCCCGCCTGTTCTTTCTAATGTCAGAGTGTGGAACGAGACAAAAAGAATGAAAGAGAGAAAACACCAGTGCCGAGGGGTTTATATTTTGTGTAAGTTCAATTTTTTAAAACCAATCTGTCACACAGTGACTGACCCAGGCTTCTCCTGACCTCTTTTAATCTCAAGTCCCTAGAGTTTGTTCTAACGTGCATTTCTTTACCTGGGTTAGGGAGGAGAAATCCGGGGAAACCGCCTCTGAGACTAAACAGGAAAATCAACCACGTTTTTGTTTTCTTTTACCACAGTGGATTACGTCAAGGCAGCTTCTATGAACTCATCACTTTGAATTCACCAAAAGGATGTCATCTAACTGAGAGCTGAGGTCTGAAGAGCCGTGATTGTCGCACTCTCTTCCCGGAATCCTAACATTCTCCAGGAATGCCTCGGGGCTACCCAGGAGGACACAGAAACGGCGGAGCAGTCACTCCGCCTGCTGACCAGAGCCACGCACAGTCACCTGGCTCTGCATGGGGCTCTGCGTGACAGTCTGCGAAGGTGTCCTGCTGCGGTCAGAGCGCTGAGCACAGGTGGGGTGACTACAGGGGCGCGCGCACGGAGCAGTTACCTGTCGGTGGAGCCAGGCCTCGCTTTCATCCTCGTGTTTCTGAAATGAAACAAGAGCATTAGACAAGGGTTTGTTTTGCACGTGTTGTGTCTGTGACCAACAGTGCAGAAAACAATTTGGCTTCATCTACACGCTGGCTGCACAAGCACAAAACAGCTGCCAGGGCTCGCTCTGGGAGGAGGTAATCCCCTGTTCAGCTCTTGGTCTCGAGTGTGGCTCAGGGCCAAACACAAGTATCCTCGAATGAGAAAAATGCCACTATCCCTAACAACAGGGATAGATCCATGGTGGGCAGGAGTCCTCTGGAGAACGATGGCACTTCTACCATTTGACAGTCACCACTGCCTGGCATGTGTCCCTCTACAGGTTAACCTCAGGCGCTACACTGTGTTAAGAATTGGTGTGTGTGTGTGTTTGTGTGTGTGTGCGCGTGTGTGCACGCACGCGTGGACAGTGCATCAAAATTCCAATGTGTAACTCTGAGTCACAACCCTGGTGGACCAAAACCCTTTAAAAGGAGTCAGAACAAATATGAAAAGTAGTTCTCATGGCACTTGTGGGAAGATGCACAAACGAAACAAAAACAAAACCCGGAACACCCACATCTGGCAGTTCAGCGACACAGTGTCGTCCCCAGGCGCTGTGGGCCTGTTGCTGCCGCTGCTCTGACCTCGGCACACCCCGGGCAGTTCTGTCCCTGGGCCACTGGCAGGACACAGCTCTGCCGCTGACACGTGGGTCAGGGCACAGGGATCGTGAGCACTGCTCAGCTGCCTACCTGTGTCCGCTCCCCATCCTCAAGCAAGCCCGTCGGAGCCACCTGGAATCTGCTCCAGGCTGTGTGAAGGTAGGGTGAGCACGGGCCAACTGGGGGATGCTAGTCTGAGGAACAATCCCCACGACTCACCTCGAAGCCGCACCTGGCAGCGCAGTGAGAGCTGCTGTCTCAGGGGCCTGTGCAAGCTTCTTACTTCTCAGGTGGGGAATAAACATTTAGGGTCAAAAAAGAGTTTCTGGAAGATCTGCCTGAATGTATTAATTGGTTTAAACTGATTTTTTAACCCAACATGAGATGACCTGCTCCTAAGGGCTGTGACCTGGCAGTGTGGCAGCGCGACCCGCAGAGCGGGGCCTGGGGTGAGCCGTGTGGGCCAGAGGTCCCCGCGGGCCAGTTCCCCTCCCCGCCCTGTGGCAGGCGCCTCTTTAGGTGGCGGCTCCTCCTCTGCCCGCTCTTCGCTGTCTGTATTTTCTCCTCCCCTCGCTGGCGCGGCCTCCCCAACCACACAGCACGCCAGCCCGAGGCCCCCGAGCACTGCCTGCCAGGCTGGCCCGGGTCCCTGGAGGAACCAGCACGTGCTGGGGCCGTTGGCCCATCCTTCCCCTCTCTGAGCAGCCAGCAGGAGGAGGAGTGAGTGGCTTTAAGTGAGCTGGCGGCAGGACCCACTGGCCACTCCCGAGTGACTGGCCGGTGTGAGCAGCAGTACCCAGTCAGTCCACCAGGTGGCGCCAAGCCCAGTGCTGCAAGTCCACTTGCAGGTGGCAGCTCTGGCGCTGACACACGGGGTCAGGGCACAGACCGTGAGCACTTCGCGGCTGCCTACCTGCGCCCACTCTCCTTCCTCAAGCAAGCCCGGCGGAACCACCAGCAGCGAGCGCACCTGCTTTGCTCAGGCCCAGATGGCTCACAGGGCTTCGATGCCGCCTGGATGCTCCCTGCTATCAGTTCGGAACCCCCTGCCCCCCGGCCCGTACCTTTGTGCAGACCCCCGTGGTGGCGTCACAGAGGGTGAGGATGGACACGTTCTGCGCGCGATTCAGCCAGGTCACGGCAACCTTGGTGCTGGTGGCCCACTTCACCATGGTGATGTAGTACTCCCTGAAAACGGCCAACGCACAGGATTAGAACTTTGCAGGAGCCCACGGGCCGGCGGGAGCCAGGAGAGGGGCTCATCCCAGCCGGGGATGCAGGGGCCGGTGGCTGGGGCGTGCGGGTGACAGCCCCGCCGTGAGGTCCTGAAGTGGGGGGTTATTGAGAACACACGTGGATGCAGGACTCTGACGGGAAGCCTAGTCGTTAGCATGGACTAAAACACGCTGCGAGGCATTGAGAGTCATACGTGAGTGCGTGTGACCCCACACCCGGCCACACCATCCACCCAAGGGAGCGTGCACGGGGGCTGTCCCCTGCGCTGTCAAGTCACGTGCTCCAGAGGACGCTGCCCTGTTGACTGGACTGTCACACCCCCGTGCAAGGCGGGCGCACAGCCCCACACCGCCGGGCCGCAGCGAGGGCGGATGAGGCAGGACGGAGAAAGAGCCAGAAGGGGCTTGGCAGCGAGTGAACCCGTGCTGCCGAAGCCTCCGTTCTCTTTTCCCTCTTCCCTAAACACAGAACATCCTGGGATGCTCTCCAGCTAATTAGGGAAATTGGTTCATGGCTCTGGGCTTCAGGTGAACTTGGTTCCTAGGTGTCTGATTTTTCCCGAACCTGAAAACAGTGGTGGTTATTGAGAACACACGTGGATGCAGGACTCTGACGGGAAGCCCAGTCGTTAGCATGAAAATACCACAGTGTTCCGTGCTACCTACAAGGGGTATTGAGCTTCTGGTAATTAATTTGATCACCTAGAGCCCACCAAAAACTGAATTAAAAAAAAATTTACATTCAAGAGGAAGAAGGAAATGTTGAGAAAATAAATGCCCAAAGTGAATATCCTCATGTGAATTCCCAGAATGTTCTAGAAGCCAGCTAACATGCGTTCAGTCACCCACCCCCATCTACATCTATAATGAAATCTATTGTTCAGAGCGATTACTTTGTGGTCTCACAAGATCTTTTATCACTAAAGACGTTAGCACCTTCACGAGACAGTTCCCAGCAAGTGGGACAGGGACCTCGATACATGTAATAATTATTTTCACCAGAAAGGACCAAATATTTTCTATTTTCACCAGAAAGGACCAGTTGCTGTGACCTAAGCCTTGGTGGACCAGGAGGTAAATTGCTGCATCTCTCCTGTTCCCCAAATCTGCCTGTTAATCAAAGTTTTTAACGACGTGACCTAAATCAGGAGCACCTGGCATACAGGAGCACAGAGGCCTCCCACTCAGGTGACTGCAGGGCACGTGGCCGGGAGAGGTGCCTGGAGCCGCTGCTGCAGTCTTGGGGGTCTCCTGGGGATGGGGGTGTGGGAGGCGTACAACATACATGAGCGAGGAACGGGGGCTCCTCGTCGTACAGAGGAAGCATTGTCCTAAAAACCAGGAGAGGCCAACGTGGACGCGCTTTGCCTGGCTCCTGCGGAACCCCGGCCGGCGGAGGGGACGCCACCCGGATTACCTGTACTGCAACACCTCCCTCTAACCAACACCTCCTAATCCCATGAGCTGCATCAATGACTAGACTTGGCCCAAAGTACATCTTAGTTGTTTCTGAAAAATCAAGCCAATGTGCAAGGACAGAGCATCACCACCGATGTGGCAACTTGGAAGGAGCACTAGTGGCGTTTGGGGGATGAGGCACGGTGCCTCACAAAGAGGTGGCGCTTTGGATGCAATGAGGTTCTTTTGCCATGTAAGTGTTGTAGTCACACTCTGTGCTAATGGGCAGGAAAATAAAACCTTTACCTGCTTAATGAAGCCTCTCGTAAACAGAAATCCCTACGTAAAATAAGTAAAGCTCTCCTAACACTTAATGTGTTTTCCGTTTTCTTAACTTCAAAGCCGTTCTAAGCAGTTCTATGTGGAAGGAATGGAACAGACTGATTGCAAGGCTGGTGTTAGGGACCGAAGCTGTGCCTCGCGGCAAGATGTTGCTGATGGTATACGGGGAGTGCCTGCGTGGTTGTCGCAAACAGCACAGACATGTGCCTCTCTACGAACGCAGAGACTTCCAGCAGGCAGTGGAGTCTGGCCAGCAGACCGGAGGCAGCCTTTACCAACTTTGTGTTATCATGCCTAAAAGGACATCCAAAATGGTGAAAAGTCACAGTGCCACCAAAAATTAACATTGCCGACCTCTCACTGCAATGCAGAGGGAGCTGACGAAGTCGGACAAGGGGTTGCCCAGCTCTGCCTCCCCCACGGAACAGGCATCACCCATCGCGGGAACATGGCGGAAGGTGCCTCTTCTCCTCCCACCGCCTTCTCCTCCCCCCAGAAGTGCTGGGCTCGCACCAGCCAGAAGTGTGGGAGTTAAGGGTGTTAAGGAAGATTACAGTTTTTCATGTATATAAACTGACTTAGAATGTCCCAGAAAAATTCTAAAGAAGGCAGAAGAAAAATTCCAACTCAGCCCAGCCGAGCCGGATGGATGTGGTTATACCACGTCTTCCAGATTTACATCTGAGAAGGGCTCGGTAGCCCCCAAAAAGTCAGAGAGAGGGGTCAAAGGTGCCTCCTAGCCTTGCCTGTGGCCAACACCCAGTGTGGGAGGAGCTCTCTTTTTGGTGGTAGAGGCCCGTGAGCGTCAGCCCAACAGTGCAAAGGGAAACGACACCGAAAGTAAAAAGGACATAACCCTAAAGACATGAGATGAGATGAAAAAGGTGAGAGGAGGAGCTTGCAAGGAAACCAAAGCTGAAAATTAGAGAAATTCGGTTCAGAGAAAAGGAGGACACAGTGGGAGGCTCTCGCGGAAGGCAGAGAAGGGCGGCACAGGCGTGCAGAGAAGACAGCTGTTGCGCATCTGGGAACAGAGGTGCGTCTCCCGGGGGAGCCAGCGTGACTGCAAGACAATAATGGCAGACACAGAGAGACACTTGTGTGCGGGAGAAAAGACCCGAATGGGAGGACTAACGGGATTTTCCACATTCCAGGGACGCTGATGTGACAGCTAAACGTGTTCTGATGGAATCTTCCAGTTACAGGGAAAAAGAAATTCCACAGCAGTCCAGTAGGAAGGAAACAAGTTTTGACAAAGGATCAGAATCTTGGCTCTGATATAAAGTTCCTCCTCTGTTTCACGTCTATCGTCATTTACTGTTTCAATGTGTGTTTTAACAATAACGTCTCCTTGTTTAGAGCATATCTTCTACTTGGACATACCCTACGCTGGCTTGGGAGGAAGGCAACGCAAAATGAAAGGCTCAAGATTAAAAACTCAGCATGTAAAAAAAGTTGACCTTTAAAATCAATGAACTTATAGGTAGTTCTAAACTACTATCAATTTGATTATAAATTCAAATAAAGTGATAAAAATAATATAAAAAAGAAATATTGGGCAAATATTTTGTAAAATTATAAACATTTAGTAAATTTTTAAAAGAAGACTAAAAACAAAAGGTAGCACACATCACAAATGATGAGACAGAAGGATAATGTTTAAGAAAAAGGAATAGAAACATACTATGTTTCTGCAATAGAAGAATACACATGATAAACTTTTCAAAATAATTATCAATTTAGATAAAATTGAGGATCTATATTTAAACTTCACGAGGGCAGAGGCCGTATCCGCCTTACTTACTCCGCATTTCAGCACACTGCACGGGGCTTCTCACGCGGCAGACACTTCATATGTGTTACAGGAACTAATTTAATTCTAATAGAAGGACAAATGAATTTCTTTTGGGGGAGCATCAAATAGAATATGTTTAAAGTTTACATATAAGAAGAACTGGATAAAAAACCAAGATGATTTTTAAAAGGAAGAATAATGAGGGAGGATTTATACAAAAAGTTGCTAATAGAGCTACATGACTTTTTACTGATGTATCAATCAGTAGATCTACAAGTGGGAGGAGAGTCTTACAGCACAGTGTTTCTGTGAGAACAGAATAGTTATGACGATGTCATCCTAGGTCAGCGGGAAAGGAAGATTTCTGCGATAAAAGGTGCTGGGAAAATGGCTTAATTACTTAAAAAAAAACCAACAGAAAAAACCAAATAAGCCAAGAACAAATATACATTTCTAGAAAAAATTATCAAAGGAAAATCTATCAAGTGGCTCACAGTCATTACCTATGGCTGGTGTGCTGACAGGTGATTACTGTGCTCTACACTGCACAGATTACTTTTTCAATAAGAGGAAGGTGATTAAGAAAACACTGGAAGTTTCCTATTTAAGTTGCTGGATTTATCATATTTGTTTATTTCTTTTCCCTCCAGAAACCTAATTGCAATGATAATACAGGAATAAAACAGGTACGTATCCACCTACAATAATAAAGATAACAGGAGGGGCTGAGAGATTTCAGCACACTTCTGTAAGACAGCAGTGGACGGAAGAGTTGCGAGGGAAGAGTAGCTGGAGAAAGCAGCAGCCTAAGACACCTGCCTAGTTGAAAATTCACAGAGAATTTTGGGGACTCAGAGCTCTAGGTAAAATACAGTATGAGACAGAAATGTAGTTGAAACAGGAGTGTCAGTTGAAAGTCTGTGGATACAATAGGTGATAAATGAAAAGAAAACCCACATTTAGATATTCTTTCAAAATCCAAAAAGCTTTTGGAAAGAAAAACAATAAGTGATTCCTGGAGGAACATGGGTCAGACTGACATTGGGGTTACTGTCTGTAACCCTGAATGCTGACGGCAATGAAGCTATCCCCCCAGCTTTGAGGAGTAGATTTTTTAAACTACAATTCTACATTCAGGTAATATTTTAAACACATGTGAGGAGAAAAATAAAGACATTTTTAGGTATTCAAGAACTCAGAAAGTTTACTCCCCACATTCCTTTCTTAGGAAAGCATCTGGAGGATGTGCTCCAGACAAAAGTGGGAGTAAATGAAGAAAGAAGATGACATAAGATCCAGGAAACTGTCACTCCGCCCTGGGAGAGGTGTGGGGAAATCCGAGGACGACATCAGTGCCGAGGTTGTGAAGAGCAGTCCACGCTGTAGCAGGGCTGCGGAGGGTACTCGGAGAGAGAGAT